TTCAATGTAGCGTTTGGCCTCCTCTACCCGCTATATGTCTGTACTGGTGATACTGATATTATTTTTATAGGTGTTGAGTTTCAGCAACACTCCGTATTTTTGGCCTATTTGTTTAATATGGGCGCCCTTGTGACCAATGAATGTGCCGTGAAATTTTTTGGGTATTTTAACGCTCCTCGTGATTTGATTTTGGCTGGACTGCTGTTTCGCTATGGCTGGTGATTCCGGTTCCACTGTGGTTGGTGATTCCAGTTCCGCTGCGGCTGGTGATTTCGGTTCTGCTTCGGCTGGTGAATCTGGTTCCGCTGCAGCTGGTGACTCCGGTTCCGCTGCGTTTGGTGACTCTGGTTCCGCTGCGGCTTGTGACCCTGGTTCCGCTTCGGCTGGTGACTACAGTTCCGCTACGGCTGGTGACTGCGGCTCCGCTTCGGCTGGTGACTCCGGTTCTGCATCGGTTGGTGATTCTGGTTCTGCATCGGTTGGTGACTCTGGTTCTGCTGCGGCTGGTGACTCTGGTTCTGTTGCAGCTGGTGACTCCGTTTCCGCTGTGACTGGTGATTCCGGCTCCGCTTCGGCTGGTGACTCCGATTCTGCATCGGTTGGTGACTCTGGTTCTGCTGTGGCTAGTGACTCTAATTCCCCTAGGGTCAACTCAGCCTAGCCTGGGTTGTGGTCGTCCTCTCTAAAGCGACGACGGATTTTACAACATAAATACACACAAGTACAACAAACAATAAACACTAACAGTACTGTTCCTATGATAAATGACCCAGAGGTAAAACGTGGGACGTCGCTCTCGGAGGCCTTCTTCAGCGCCTCCGTCACCCTCTTCATCTCAATTTTGATTTTTCTAGCAAGTAAAATGTCGCCCAAAAGAGGCACGTGGTCGCATAAACCTGGTTTGGGCTTTTATAGGGTTAGGAGCTCACCTATCCCAGGGCTAATAAGTTTTAGTCCCCTTAAAATTCTGTAGTAGAGGCTCACTCTTTATTTTTGTTGTTGAATTTTAATTTCGTCTAGCCGTTCTTTCAAATTTTTAAATTCATTTTCAACTGTAGACCTGTATTGGTAAACTACCATGTAGGTAGTGAGAGCTACAATTGCCACCAGTATATTTTTGCTATTAATTTTGGCCATTCCGTTAATCAGACCTATTTGTCTTTCTCTGGGTCACGCTACACATAACCCCAAATGGTGTTAACTTAGACAAGAATCTAGTTAGCTCAGATACAGTCTACCAGTAATATGAACTAGTAATTTAAGCGCTGTAGGGAACATATGGTACTGGTGTTGAAGTAAACATATAGTACTGGTGTTGTAGTGAACATATGGTACTGGTGTTGTAGTAAACATATGGTACTGGTGTTGTAGTAAATATATGGTACTGGTGTTGTAGTAAACATATGGTACTGGTGTTGTAGTAAACATATGGTACTGATGTTGTAGTGAATATATGGTACTGGTGTTGTAGTAAACATATGGTCCTGGTGTTGTAGTGAACATATGGTACTCGTGTTGTAGTAAACATATGGTACTGGTGTTGTAGTAAACATATGGTACTGGTGTTGTAGTGAACATATGGTACTGGTGTTGTAGTAAACATATAGTACTGGTGTTGTAGTGAACATATGGTACTCGTGTTGTAGTAAACATATGGTACTGGTGTTGTAGTAAACATATGGTACTCGTATTGTAGTGAACATATGGTACTGGTGTTGTAGTAAGCATATGGTACTCGTGTTGTAGTAAACATAGAGTACTGGTGTTGCAGTAAACATATGGTACTGTTGTTGTAGTAAACATATGGTACTGGTGTTGTAGTAAACATATGGTACTGGTGTTGTAGTAAACATATGGTACTGGTGTTGCAGTAAACATATGGTACTGTTGCTGTAGGGAACATATGGTACTGGTGTTGTAGTGAACATATGGTACTGGTGTTGTAGTAAACATATGGTACTGGTGTTGCAGTAAACATATGGTACTGTTGCTGTAGGGAACATATGGTACTGGTGTTGTAGTGAACATATGGTACTGGTGTTGTAGTAAACATATGGTACTGGTGTTGTAGTAATCATATGGTACTGGTGTTGTAGTAATCATATGGTACTGGTGATGTAATTAAACATATGGTACTGGTGTTGTAGTAAACATATGGTACTGGTCTTGTAGTAAACATATGGTACTGGTGTTGTAGTGAGCATATGGTACTGGTGTTGTAGTGAGCATATGGTACTGGTGTTGTAGTAAACATATGGTACTGATGTTGTAGTGAACATATGGTACTGGTGTTGTAGTAAACATATGGTACTGGTGTTGTAGTAAACATATGGTACCTAGTGTTGTAGCAAACATATGGTACTGGTGTTGTAGTAAACATTTGGTACTGGTGTTGTAGTGAACATATGGTACTGGTGTTGTAGCAAACATATAGTACTCGTGTTGTAGTGAACATATGGTACTGGTGTTGTAGTAAACATATGGTACTGGTGTTGTGGTAAACGTATGGTACTGGTGTTGCTGTAAACATATGGTTCTGGTTTTGTAGCAAACATATAGTACTGGTGTTGTCGTGAACATATGTTACTGGTGTTGTAGTAAGCATATGGTACTAGTGTTGTAGTAAACATATGGTCCTGGTGTTGTAGTGAGCATATGGTACTGGTGTTGTAGTGAGCATATGGTACTGGTGTTGTAGTAAACATGTTGTACTGGTGTTGTAGTGAGCATATGGTACTCGTGTTGTAGTAAACATATGGTACTGGTGTTGTAGTAAACATATGGTACTGGTGTTGTGGTAAACATATGGTCCTGGTGTTGTAGTAAACATATGGTACTGGTGTTGTAGTAAACATATGGTCCTGGTGTTGTAGTAAACATATGGTACTGGTGTCGTAGTAAACATATGGCACTGGTGTTGTAGTAAACATATGGTCCTGGTGTTGTAGTAAACTTATGGTACTGGTGTTGTAGTGAACGTATGGTACTGGTGTTGTAGTGAGCATATAATAATAGTGTTGTAGTAAAAGTTTAATAATATTTTTTACTAGTAATGTATCGAAGTATAGCAGTACAGGAACAAGAACACGAAAACTACATTGGTCACTGATTCTGTAAGTGTGTGCACACAGGATGGTTAATGCGTCTAGGCACACAGGGTGGTTAATGCGTGTAGGCACACAGGGTGGTTAATGCGTCTAGTTTGGCAGCATTATGTTAGTGATAAGGTGCAGGGACTGCTTGCCTCCTCTCGCTTGCAACTGCCGCCGCTGGCTAGCCCTCGTGGTGAACAGAGAAGCAACCTTGCGCAAGTCTTCCCCTGCCAGTACATAGCATGGACGACAGTAGACTGCCAAAGCAGCTGCAATACAGTCACGTGACGTTGGCGGTCAACTGTAAAGGTATAAGGATAGTCTTAAGACTTACCTGAAAAAATTTCCAAATCGAGCCCCTCACATGGGAGACGATTACTCCTCATTGTGTCAGTACTTTCGAGTTAGCCCGACTCAATGACAGAAAGAGAAAAGCGCCAACTGTGGAAAGACGCTGCTGCCGACCCTCCCGCACTAGTTGTAGCCCTTCACACGTACAACATCTGTGGACGACTCTGCCGGTCCCATATCTGCCTCTCGAGTCACCACAGAGCTCACTAATGAAGGTGACATCTTTAATAACTCATATCATTGCATCATAGCTGGATGATCTTCATACTCGATTCCGAATTACAGCAAAGTAGTAGTAGTA